AAAAAAAAAAAAAAAAAAAAAAAAAGAAAAAACTTAGAAAAATAGAAAACTTAATAGTCCTTTCTCGAATTCGCGAAACAATGTCCACGAAACAATGGTATGTCCCCAAAACATATCCACCTATGTGCATCATTGCTGATTGGAGGCATAATATACGAATGCACTATATCGAATTAATGTCTCTAAGCTGGCGACAGTCGTTGCAGTCCTCAGGATCTCACTAATTACTAGCATTAGAAGTAGAGCCTTGCTAGAGAGGGATCTGGGTAAAGGTGCTGTTACATTAAGCAATTTCCCTTGCAACTTGTCTTGCAATTTCGTTGCGCGATATAATAAGTACGTTGCCGTTGCACGATTTTACACTAAGTAGGGCTTCATGCAACTTGTTTCACATTCGACCGTAGTGGACTGGGGCTGSGGTGAGAAATATATTAGCCCCTATAAAATACTATTGGCTGTCATAACAAATCGTTGTGAGACAACTTGCAAGAATTTTCACTAGTTCCACTAGACAATTTCTTGCAATGTTGTTGCGAAAAGTAGAACTCGGTTCTACATCCCGCAACGTCTGCGGTAACAAAATAGCAAGACACTTTTGGTATGTTACACTAGGTATTTTATCGTGCAACAAAATTCGTAACAAAATTACGAGACGAGATGCAGGGAAAACTTCCTAGTGCAGCAGCACCGAACAGAAACAAACTAATAGTTTCTTTTCTTGGCCAACCAAAGCCCTGAGAAGATTAGAAGTATCTTCCGCATCATTATGAAGTATCGTAATCAAATCAACTTTTCGTATGTAATTTAATACGAACAACAACAACAATAACAGCAACAACAACTGCAACGACAACAACAACCAAAGCGAATGAAGGCAACGTTTCGTTGCCATTGCTATATCTTCAGGTCATGAATAGAGTCAGTTATTTTCCTCAGAGTGTGGAAAAGTATAAGATCTACTAATTTGTATTAGTCTACTATTTGACAGTGTGAGGAAATTCCCTCCAAGTACATTTCACATTTCCCAGGCAAATAAAAATTCATCATTTTTTTTCCAGGAACTCACCCCTCCTCCAAGCCCGTCTCAGATAGAGGCCATGAATTCTGGTGAACACGAGGAGGAGGGTCGTGCAAGTCTTGACTTTGTAACTGGAGGAAAAGATGCTTTTGTCGTTGAGGTATTTTACGCTAGTAACTTGAATGTTAAGTATACTTTTTATTGTTTCACTGATTTAACTACTATGACAAGTTTGACGGAAATCAAAATCTTTTGGGCACAAAAACGGGATTCAACAAATAGAAATCAATTATTTTGTTTATATATTTAATTATACAACTTTTCATTAATCCATATAGGTAACTGTCCAATTATCTTCTTAATTGGACAGGTCTTGTCGATATGGGATTAATTAGGCAGCTATATAATTAATTGGTATTGGGATTTCATGCTCCCCAATCAAGAAATATTTACACTCGAAAAATTCCTCTGAATGCCAAATTGGACTCGGCCTACGGCCTCATCCAATTTTGTCTTCGGAATTTTTCTCGTCCAATTATTTCTTAATTGAACAGCATGGAGTCCTATTGCATATACTAATTACTTAAAAATCAAGTTAATGGCATTTAACCGCGGCATTTCTACAGATTAGCTCTTCGTCCACTGAAATCCAATTGCAATTTAGAAGTTGATTTTGCGGAGAGAGAGAAACTGGAGTCCCCGTGTTGAAAAAGCCGTGGAAGGGTCACTTTGTCACATCAATAATACTAACAAATATGCAGAAAAGCCTATTTCAAAGCTCCAAACAGTTTATAGATTTTCAATAAAAACTACGCAACTGAAATTCCAAATGACATGGTGTAGGTAATACCTAAAGTTTTCGTTTCAAAATGAAGTGCAAAAAGATAGGACTTGTAAAAATCAACAAAAAATCAATTCGATTGCCATGGTTGTTAACTTCGACCTGCAATGATGCTAACAAATCACTTCTAATTTTCTAAAATGGAAAAGCCCAAAATACTTTGGAACTGGTTATATATATATATATATATATCCATGTTAGATGGCATGAAAGATAGGACGTTTGCATGATGCATTGGTGCTAATTAACTGAACAAAAGAAAGTCTGCAAGGGAGTATGTTATTAGGAGTCAAATGATATCATTATGCAAACGTACTATGCATTGTTTTTTGAATGAGAATGAATTCTTCTATTTCTTCATTAGAATATGACCTTGAATATCATCTTTCCATTCCAGTAGTTTTACAAGATTTACCTTCCCTCTAGACTCTTCAAAACTTTTATCCGCGTGAAAAGAAAAAAAAAAAATCAACATATTCAAACTTTTACTCTTCCGCATTGGTTTGACAGCTGAATCTATTTTGCTGGTCAGCGGCATTCACTACTAGATTACTAGAAAAGAGTAACTACAAGATGAACTCAGGAAAATAACGAGGCAGTTTTTTWAAACTATTATCCTCGATAAAGTTACAAGAATAATGTTTTAGTATGTTACTATATTGAAAGACTTCTCTGAGGACGAAATTGAAGACTAAAAGTGGATACTTCTGGGCCTAAATGTGTCAACATGACAGTTGTATCGAACTGCAGATGATTACTCGTTTTCAAAGGCATGTTTATCTGGATTATTTGGATTTCTTTTTGGTTGTAGGCAAAATTTAATATGAACAAATAATCTTGTGATTTGTTCATCGATTGATGTTTGTGCATCGTGCAAATAATTTACAATTATTTATTTCGAGTGAACTTATCGTTGTATTTTATGACAGTATACAGCATTTTACCTTACAGTTAAGGCATGTTGTGATATCAGTCTTTCGATTCCAATACTGTTTTCTAAAACCGTTTTTTTACAATTTGTGTGGTTGAAATGTTTTTAAAATATATTAGGCCAGTTTAAACAGTGAATTTATAAACATTTAAAGATAAATCGCATTCAAAACTATTTGCAACTTTTTGACGTAATACATTAAATCTCAAAAATACTGAAAGTTTGTCGACCTGTTCACTTCTCAAAACCTGCTGGCCGCAAAATATTATTTTAATTTCGGTAAGAACTAACTTTTATCTCTGCAGTACTCAAATATTATAGTCCTACGAAGTCTAACTTTTGAGTTTTGATTTTTTTTCCTAAGCCATATTTTAGCCAACTGGCCAAAGTCGATTATCGATGGTCGRTAAAATTAAAATATCTAGATATAAGTAAGTTCATATTTAACTTTAAGGCTACTCATMTTTGCATAAGATATATGTCTACTATAATATGGAAGGATTTAGTGTTGTGATGATTTGTTATGGAATTACGAATTTTTAAACATCGCCCAAATTTCATGAATGAGAAGTAGTCAAAATCACTAATTTGGCCCCCAAGGGGACCCCCCCTGAAACTTTGCAAAAAAGCGCTGAGACACAAAACAAAATGTGTTTTGGAAATAACCTTGGAAGGGCACACTCACACACAAAGTTTGAAAAAAAATCTGTTTTTTCACCCAAAATGGTTATGAGGTCCTTACCGAGACAGCTCTTAAATATATATTATTCTGTATCCACCTTTCTTTGTTTACTTCATCCTTCCTCTTTATCATGTTACACGTCATGTAAATCCGTTAAAACATCGTGTGAGGATTATTTTCCAGGTCGACGATAAAAAAGACGAAGATATCATTACAGTTTTACTCGATCCCCCGACACCTGAAGGTAAGCGCTGATTCAGTTAAGACCAGCGTTAAAAAAAAAAAAAAAAAAMGGTAACAGTGAACTGAACAATATACTAATTTACAGACAAAACGTCAAAGACAATACTTGGTTTTGCACATGTAATGAAGTGGTTTATGGGCTGGATTGAACGGTGTTTGCTTGAAAGGCCAAGGATAAGGCCGAAAGCAAGTAAAATCGTTTGCTATGTAAAGTGTTGTGAATTACTTTCTTAGTTCTTGATTGTGTTTTACCGTTAGGTTTCTATTGTTGCAACACTGAGACTTTGCCTGGAGTCACTCGAGTTCAGTCTGGTGTTAAGGTATATTTATGTCGGATATCATGCTCATTCGCATAACATTACCATTTGACAAAATCCGGCAAATCAGGAAAATTGAAGTGAAGGATTTGAATTGAGCTTTTTCAAATGAAAGTTTTGTCATACTCAATCGTAATTGGCCAATTTGTATGAAACTTTGTTTGGGTAGCCTTCACTGTTGGTGTAGTCAGACTGTCGGTCTTGTTCGGCTTGTGTTGTAACTTCATATTTTATTCTCTTCAGATGATAACCGCTGTGCAGAGACATGAAATCAGTGACGAAGACATAAGAACCAATCAACAGTTTGCGAAGATGTTTGATGATACCATGAAGGTAACAACGAATAAACAGAAATTTAGAACATTCTCCTTAAAATAATTATGATTTAGGATTTATTTCTAATATAAGTATTTGTATCTAATATAAATAATTTATTTGTATATGTTCATTTATATAAGGCGCTTTACATCGAATTGTTAATTTCAGATTACTTTTTATACAATTTACAAATACGAGAGGTTGTTAGTAAGAGTTGTAGGAACTGAGGATGTTGGTCACTGCCAGGGTTTCTTTATGTCCTTAATGGTTCTCTTTCGCCGTGATTTGTCACGCATTCTTATGGGTGATGTTTTTTCGCAGAGCTTCTGGTTCAAACTTCGTCACTTTAACCCGTGTAGTTTGACAAACGTTCGCTTCGACGTTGAAATACCTGAAGACGATAACATACAGGTAAGTCCCAGTCATTATTGAAATTGGGTGGGCTGTTTGTTGAACCATTTAGAGGAAGATCGAAATAGAAAATTTGGTTCTTGGAATCTTAGATTGAAAAGAGGAAAACCGCAATCCAAGAGGCTGAACCCGGAAATCCAAAATACCGAATTGAGAATGAGAATGCACATGCTAAACTGAATACAATTATTTGATCAACGTTTGGTGAAGGTTTTGTTGCATCTTGTATGTTGCTTATGTAAACAAGTGTCAGCACAAATAAAAGAAATTACGTCGGAAGAACGTCCAGAAGAAGTCTAAAAAAGTTATATATCGTTGTGTCCTTTCGCTGATTTCAGTCACAATGCTCATAGTAGTTCGATAATGATATGCAACATGCAATATGCAACAAAAGCATGCTCTTTTTAGATATTAAGCGGTATCAAAGTTCCGCATTCCAAGATCCAAGATATGGAATCGTGGAAAAGTATGCAGGATCAAGACTCTCTAATCCAATGTCTATTATGCTTCTGGAGTCTAATCAAGACTAGTTCATACTTTCTTCACAAGCATAAGCATAAGCAATGAATGGAATTATTTGCAGCTCTTCAATTTCGGATTGGAAATACATTTGATGATAACATTCTGCAATAAAATATAAAACATGCTAAAAATATTGCCATAAAATAAAGACGACGTTTCGACTTTGCAAAGCTTCACTATCAAGTCAATGAGAGATAAAAAAGGATTGTAAGTGACTATTAATTGATAATTTGCAATAATCGAAGCAGAGACCGAAGGGTATCTTGGGTACACAGTGAGTCATATTGCAGTATTGTAGCTCTCGAACATTCATTTGATTCATGCAATTGTCTCTATACGCAGAGCCACTGTAACATCTATCTTTTTTTYCCCAGTTCGCTGTTTCAGGGGTGGTAGTTGGTATGGAAGAAAATGTCGAAGAACGAAAAGAAATCAGAAGGGAAACTCTTGTGAAGGATAGAAATTCAGGTAGTTATTATCGATAATCACTGAGCCTGAGTTGAATAGTTATTTTAGTATAATTTTAGACTTGAATATCAGAGAAAAGACGAAATTCAGGTATTTCTACTCAGTACCAGTGAATATTGTCTCAGAATAACTGTTCAGGCGCTCGACCAATCACAGCGCACACGAAACTCTATATTCAAGTCTAAAATTATACATATTTTYATAATAATATAAATAACTCGTGTTTGACATGCTAGTGACATGCTAGGCCTTTTGCTACACTTGTTTCTCTTTCTCAGCATGTTTTCCTTGCCTATTTCCGTGTTTTTTGTTTATATGTTACTGCGCATTGCCCAGTCACCGTTTGATAAACATTAAAATATACAATCCCCCCATTCATTTCTGCTAATGGCTATACTTTATTTACTATAGAGGACACAAGTGAAAAACGTTTCCGCATGCGCAGTCRAAAAGCAAAGTGTCCCGGTTGTTCCAGGATCAGTTCTCCCTAGCGAGTTTCTCCTGAACATTCTAAAACTCGATATTGAGAACTGACAAGTTGTCTTTTCTATGATTATTTAATAATTATTTTATTTTTATTTTTATTTATTATACAGCATCAAAGAAGACAAGTTCTGAAGATCTTCTTTTTCCAATCGAAGAATTTGAAGATACAAAATCTCAACCGAGAAAGACCTCGCCAGGTATGTTTATGAGGCTGCTTTTATATTCCTAAATTGCTAAATTGCCTAATTTGGAATAGAATATGACGTCACAGCTTGTTTATAGGGGGAACATAAGAGCGAACAACAAGAATTTGGACTAATTATACTCTGCAGCTGAATTGAAAGCTATGATATGGCTGGTTTCCAAACATTTTATAAACCGTTGTTTATAAGCAATGTAAAATAAGAACATTGCTCCTCAAAGAAATGAAAATCAACCCAATAGACTCAAAAAAGAATGTTAATGCCTTATTTCTTTTACTGTCACGAGAGACCAAGTGTCCTAGCGCGCGTAACTAATTACAAATTCAACTAATTAACATTATACGTTATATACGGTATTTGGTGGGTATTATTGATYTTATGAGTTGCAAAAAATACAATTTCTCACAGTTTTCTTCGTGTAGTTGCTGATTGAAAGACTGTTTTCATGTGACGTTATAACGAAATAGAGAGCAATTGAAATGAATAGTTAATAGCACGTCGGAGAGACGTGTTTTAGATTCCTGCTTCCTTAGCTAGCAATATTTTCATTAAATATATATTTTTACACTTCCTTTAGAATTACTATGCTTTGTTTTCATTGCTACGCGCTGAGCGAGACAACCGTCACGCCATGGAAATCGGGCAATACTCTGCTGTCAATCAGAGTATGTAAAGGTACCGCACAATTTTTTTGATTGACGGTAGTCGGTTTCTATGGCGGCGTGGCGGTTGTCTCAGACAGAAAAAAAAGATTTACTTTTAATTTCTTTTACCGTTGCTTGCCAACGTGGTGAGCATCTTTTTCCATCGGAATATAATCATAAATGACGTAGCTGCTATGTTTGTTGGTRTGACAAATGAGCTGATGAGCGAAACTGTTCTCTAGGTCATCTAACATGTGGGGCGTGAACCCACATACATTTACAGATGTTTTTTTCTTCGGTTATTTCAGCATCAAAGCAGCCAGTACTAGCGTTAGAAAACAAGTTGACCATCCCAAAGGTATTGGTGCTAGGGGTTTGGGTTTCTCAGTCTTCGGCTCGTTCCACCCGTATTCTAAAATTTTAATCTTTAATACTCTGACAGGTTCCACCAGCGCACCGCCCTGCCGTAGAAGTCACTCCCATGTCTTATTTACCTAATGCACAAATAGAGCGTTACCTCGGCAATGTCAACCTCTTCTTCATACGAGAAAGTYTGTCCATTAGAGAGGTTGGTGATTACTCGCGTCTTATGTATGTTTCTCTTGACCTCTAAACTAAGATCAAATGTTTCCACCTCCATTTATTTGGTATATATGTTTTTGCACCATCACGTGCTCACGCCCATAATACAGCTTGGGTTACCTCGGCATCATGTAATTTTCCTGAATTTTGTCTGCACGTTTTTGGGGCATAGCGTCTTTTGTGCTGACATCATTTACGTATGAATATAATGTAGTTCAAGCTTAGAAGTAACATGCATAGGCAACATGCAACAAAATACTTACCAACGATGTTTTCTTGTAGCTGTATTCTTTTCAGATATTGCATTAATATTATTGATAAAAACTTGTAGCGATTATAATCGTTTGCCGGCTTATGCTTGGTTTGTACATACCGTCATAAAGCAACTGCAGACCTTTTATAGGCGCAGCTTCTTCCATCTCCCCCCTCCCCAGATTATTATTATATGTTTATTTCAACTTCGTACATTTTTGCTACATGAATACAGAATATTGCGGGCATGAATAGTCTAAGCAAATATCTGCATGACTGGTTTTACAAAGATGTATTATTAATATTATCAATATTAATA